CCCTTGTCCGCCTTGCTTTCCTCTGTAACCCAGTCTGATCCCCAGACTTCTGGTGGAATGATGGAGTTCTTATAGAGTGCGATCCGCACGGGCCATTCAAGGTGCTCCCACCAGGGGCTTGTGGCTTCAAACTGCGAGACGATGCCCATGACTTCTCTCCGAGCGACACCGTCAAGCCACCACACTGCTGACTCAAATCCTTTCAGCAGCGCGAAGAAGCAAGCAAGAATTGTCAGGGCGCGAGGTCGACGCTCTTCTAACAACTCGATGAATCGCTTTGACACGGTGGCTGGGAAAGCGAGTGCGGCGCCACGATGAGGCAGTTTGTGCGCCCAGTTGAGAACGGCGATAGCATGCTGGTATGATTGCCTGGTTGACATAGCCATAAGAGTGTCTTCGGTTTGAAGTTCCTCGTCCAAGTTGTCAAGCAACTTTCCAAAGAAGGAGGTGGGCGAGGTCGCATCGAGATCCAGCTGGAGAACGGGCTGAGAATCGATGATGGGAATAACAACCCCGCTGTTACGAATCCAAGGCCAAGATGTTGCTACAACCGTTTTGACGCCCTGGAAAGCGTGGAACCAAGAAAGGGGCAGAGAGTAAACGCTAGAGGGGTCGCTCGGGTCGGCTTCGTCGCGGATGAAGATTCGTGTAGCCGTTGACTGGAAAGCAATCAGAGCTGCTGTGAGGAAAAGTGACTCGGCGTTAGCCTCGGTGATGCCGTTTTGTAAAGTTGAGCAATATGCCGCTAGCGAAGATGCCATGTACGAATGAGATGCCCTGATGAGCGCCCTGTCGTCAGGATTGAAAGAGCGCAGGTGTAATGCAGCCACAGCGAGCATAGCATCTGCCAGGTAGGTGGCACCGCCGAAGGCCAGCCTCGGAACAGTGTTTGTCCAAATATCCTGCGTGGCGGGTGTGTTCACCACAAGTGTGCGGGAGGTCATGGACGTGAATTGATGCATCAATCGTAACTCCAGAAGTCGGTTGTTGGGTGTTGTTGTAGAAGATACGGCAGCAGTAGACGGCGTTGTGTAGAGCGGTGAGCAGTTCATGGCAGGTGGTGAGCCAGAAAAAGAAGGCGTCTTTGCCCGATGTGCGGATGGGGATGGTGCTGTAGACGAGGCTCTGTCAATGGGGGACTGTGACGATTGGGTATTCGAGGGTGTGAGGGCGGTGAGGAGGTCGTCGAACATATCGGGGTTCTCGAAGTCGCACGGTACGCCGTGCTTGAGGCAGTTGCCGCACCTTGGGTGGACTTCATCGCACTATCACGGGACCGTTGTCAGCCAACAGAGCCATGCCAGGGGGAGGCAAGCAGAAGCGAAGCATGTGGAGGGATGGAGGGTAGGTACCTTGATCTTGCGCGACTTGCAACGCTTGCAGCCGGCTCTCGACTTTTTGTGTGATCTTCGGGGAGGCATGTTGGCGATAGTTGAGGCTGTTGATGATCAGATGCCAAAGGAGTGATCAGGTCGGCGGGGTCCCACTCTATAAGGTGAGTGTGGGTTGGTCTTCACGTGTCGTCAACGGGGGGTCGATGTTGACGTCGACGTTTGTTTCTCGTTGGGGCTCAAATGTGACAGGCTAAGGAGCATGACAGAAAGGTAATCTTGTTGACGTGATACGGATGTTGAAAGTTGGGGTCTGTTGTCTTTAAGGCGTTGAAAGGCGCCAAGGGCAGTCGAATGAGGCAGATGGGAAGGAAGGAGGAAAAGAAATGAAGTGAATGATGGTGTCGAAGTTTCGGGGTAGACTGGGAAGTTGTAGTTGTGGAGATTGACGATTCGGGGTTCGAGGGACCGGGGGCCCGGGGGTGTGCGTGTTGCGTTTGCGCTGTTGTGGGCCCAAGTGCTGGTCCTTTCTCTTTATGGGACCGTCAACCCCGTACCAAAAAGAAAACAAAACATGAAGACCGGAAAGGGAATCCGTATCGCAAGAGAGCAAGTTTGTTGTGAGGCAGAGAGGACGGACCAAAAACCAGAGCTTGGACTGAGGTAGTAATGGGTGCAAGTGCCTTCTGTGAGGTTAAAGTAGGTGAATAAGAGAAGAAGGCTTGGGTTTGAGTTGAAGCAAGGAAGAGGAACTAAGGTTGGGAGAGACGTCGAGTTGAACGCCGGGCGGTTTGTAACTTATTGCAGTCAAAGGTGAAGAGGTGTGTCACTATCGCCGTCGCGGGGGCCGGGGACGGGGGGGCGTTCAGTAGCACGGGGGTCGGGGAACGGTGTCAAAGTCAGAAGTGAATCATTCTTTCTTGTCTGGAGAACCTGAGGTGACGAAAAGACGTTTTTTTTCCTTCCTGTTTAGCGTTGAACGGTTAGGTTGTGGTTGGCTGATTACTGTGCTGTCGTAGGGCAGAAGGGAGGAAGGGGGCAGGGGGGGGGGGGATGGCCCGGATGGGAGTAGGGAAGGGGAGGGTGCAGCACCGCAGAGTCACTGACATTTGCGGCCGTGGGCCGTGGACTGCGGGCTGCGGGCTGTGCAGCCTGCGTGCCTGCCCACCGCCCTCCCCCCTCCACACTGACCGAATCGAGTTGCGGCGAATTGTCAACTCTGACCCCACACAGTAATAAGGTAACCTTGTTGCCGGACGGATAGCCAGGTACAAGTCCGGCTCACCTTTTTGCAGTACAATTGGCAAGTATTCACTTCTTGCCGGGTAAAACTTCAGCTACGCATGGGACTTTACATCTGTCACCGTCATGCTTCGCCACGCCATGGCCCACGCTGACATGATCCACACCTCACTCTTACACTACTACGTACACAATCCGTACAAATACCTACACAGTCCGACAATTAAACCAAAACCCGCGGGGCCGACAACTCCAGCATGGTACACATGGGAAACGGAATTACGGGATCGACCGGCGAATACCTACCCAGCCAACATGCTTAGCTGCAGTCTACACTACAGAGAGAGTACGGATATGCATCGAATCTACGGAGCATAGAATGCAGCCACCACAGCTAATGCACATCTCTCCTGGCCCCTGTGCCCCTGTGCCCCTGTAGCCCCTCCAAGAAGGTACCCCTACGGAGTACTGTGTATTACAAGGCGGCTCATCAAAAGGATTTCCTGCTACGAATAGTGCCAGATACACACGTTTGGATAGAAACTGTCAAGTTGAGTCCATCATGTCATCTACCTCCAACCACTTGACATGTGCGCTCGCTTACGCTTAGCATCATAACCAGTCCCGTGTCTGCCTTACACATACTGAAGACGGGACTACACTTTGAATAAGGTACGAGGTGCGGAGTACGAACCCGACACGTCAACTTCATCGGCCCCGGTCCCCGTCCGCTGTGGCCAACACACCGACCAGCTGGGCAGCCGCAGCAGCAGCAATAGCAAGGCAGCAAAACCGAACAGGCCAGGGCTCAGAGTCTAAACGCCACAGCCAAATATCCCGTGGCTTCTGCAACGTACCTATCCGCACACAACCATACGTGCCCACCGCAACGACCGCAACGGGTACCGTTTCCCACTGACTGGGCAGGAACTGCGCCGTGCGTTCTTTTCCCTACAACAGTCCCTTACCTCCTAGCGGGCAGTGGAGAACTCACAGTCCGCGGTGTCCCCGCTTGGGCGTTTCGCTTCTTGACGGAGGAGTAGAGACGACACGGCCGAGAAGCTGCGAGATTGGTCGGCATGACACTACGACGAGACAACCTCCCACACGGAGCGGGCGGGTGAGCGGGCGGATCGGAGGAGAGCACTTGGGAGCTTATGCTGATTGTGTCTGCCAAAAAGACACCCTTGGTTCTTGTCGTTCTCGTTGTCGCGTCTCCCTGCCGGAAGACTAATAGTAGGGTAGGGCGAGATGTCAAATCATCCCTCAGCCCTGTTGCCGGTACCAGTACCAAAGTCGCTTGGTAACATTTTCAAAACACTCTCTATTACCTTCAACTTTCTCCTTCGGCATCTTTGCCGGCGGGAGAGGAAAATGTTAAATCTGAAGTTTCCTCCAACATGAGTCGGGGCAAGGGATGACGAGCGTGCATGGTCCTGGCGGGATGCAGAACACACAGAGATTGCGCGACGGTGAAGCCCGGCAGACAGGCCAAACGTCAGACGAACGAGATTCATGAACCCGACTCCGCGTTGTCCATCCGCGTGGAAGACCCGCCGAACCCCGTCCGTTGGATCTTCGCAGCCTTTTTTGCTTCTCTTTAACAGCTTAAGCATTACGCACGGCTTACGAGACATGCACCGCAGCGACGCGTCAACTGGCTATGAAGCTTTGCAAATAATATGTCGGCAGATGAACATCGTCAACGCGCTGGTTCCCCTATATAGTTGTTGCATCGCCACGAGCTCTTGTTTCCAAGGTGTGGCGCCCGTCGAACATGTCAAATACATGTTTAATTGGGCAATACGTTCCGTCAATGTCCGCGAACCAATATGATCTGCGATTTACCAGTGTGGAAACCTAGGATAGGACGGGATGTGATGTCCTCCAAGGTTGAATGGCGGCGACCATGGTCGAATCAAAGAGCTCCGAGAGCTCGCGAGTGTGGTGTGCGCGCAGGAACCCTACGCCAGCCATTGGGTCGGAGTCCAGGCAATCCGAATGGTGTGACGGGACGGAAAGGGGGCTGACGTAGATCTGAAGGAGGCTTGGGCACCTCTTTTTCTCGCCGTCGATTAAGCCGCACATGCAAGGCATGTCGATTGAAACAATCCTGGGGTCTTGCATGGAGCTGGCGTGGGGAGGGAACCAAGAGCAGTTTGGGTGATGTGGCCGGCATCTGGCACGTGAGGCAAGTCTTGATACGCAAACATACGGAGTACGCAGCAATCAAAACCGCCGGTCGCCGGGCGGGAGGTAAGTAGGTAGGGTTTCTAGAAGAACCCTCCTATCAAAGATGAAGAAGAGCCAAGCCTTTCATGGTTGATGTCGCACATGGGTTTGCCCACAGACATCGCTTGGAAGCACCCCGGACTGGCGGGGACGCTACCGACTTCCCCCCCGCGGCTTGTCCGCTGTTCCGACCACCGGATGGAACGTTGACAAGGCGCTTGACAAGAATGATGCAATTCTAGGTTGGAGGGCTCAACAGCGTCCGGGGCCGCGGATGGCATTGATTTCTCGGAGACGGAATCCAGGCCGAAGAGCCAACGACGATGGTCCGGCCAGCTCAGCCCGTTATTGACTGACACGAGCATGGACAATGGGTTTGCAACCAACAATGCAACGGCTATTTTGCAGGGTTGAAAGAGTTTGGGAGCTGTTGCTCTTTTCGGGCTTAGTGCCATTGCCGCTTCAAGTACGTCTCACCCTGAAGAACACTCGATTGAAGTGAGCAAAACATCGGTTGAAATATACTTGCTCCAAGGTAGCTAACGGTTAGTTTACTTTCACGAGGCTGATAAGTTGCAGGTGATGACCATCTTCTATGGACATAAGGATGTGTCAAATGTGTCGAATGCGCCGGAAAAGAAGCGAGGGCCTCGGCCAAGTGTAGCCACGTACTGAGCCGAAAGCAGCTTTTCACAAACATCCAGCCCAGACAGCTGGCGCTGAAATCAGCAAACTCACGAGTCGCATCTCCAGGTGCGCCTTCCGGTTCACCAACTGGAAACGTGGTTATACACCCCTTCGTCAAAAGGGCTGCAGAGTGTAGCTGATTGACGGCTCCCTGACAGAAGCCTGTGAGCACCTACCAACCTTACACGCCCTTGGCATTATTCGACACGTGAACTGCAGCGTACAGATCTGTAAATTTAAGCTCGGTCGATTGTTGATCTTGATTACTTGGTACAGTGATGAGTCGGGATTGCGTACAGTCTACAACTCGGCTAGTTCACCCACCAGTTCACTCGCGACATCAGCCTCTTCGGGCCCAGGCAAACGGTGCCATGTAGGCTATGATACGGCCCTTTCCATTGGACTTCATCTGAAGCCTATTTCTGCTACTACCTTAGCTGACGGAATATGCCCCACAGCCGATGCTCATTGCTGGCCAAGCTGAACAGCCAATCCTGGGGAGATGAAAACGATAACTGGACGACACAAGATTTGATCGACGCTATCGCAACGTCCGGCCCAATTCCTCCAAGCAGGTACCAAATCACTCGTGAGAGGGACACCTGCCCGGAAAATGTCACTAATCATTCCATTTACATCGTGGAGTTGAATCCAACGGGAGCATTGTACAGCTTTCACTGCGCACGGCTCCCAATGTTTCATAAACGGTTGTTTCGTTGAAGCAAGACGTGAAGACCATCAGAGCGGTTGAGGCAACACAAAGCTGAGCATTGGACTTTTGTCTCGGTGTTGAAAGCCTTTGTGGACGTCGGACATACCCTTCCATACCTAAAGTCAGTATTCAAGATGACACTGGCATCGTCGACAGTGCACTGAGGTACACTCAAGGGTGTCGACATGAGTATTGTTTGGATGACTGCGCAAAGCAAGACCGCGGATTTTCGTTTGAAAGCCGCGTTTTGGTTATTCGGACTTAGCGTCTCGTGCAACAAGCCGTACCCTACTACTTCCAGACTCCGGCAGTTTGCTCTCAACGTCCAGAAAACGTAGCTGGGCAAGTATAAAGCATAGGGAACAGATGGAACCCAGGACCGTCGTCCGAGAATCCGCTCGTCTCGGCCGATCGCCTATCGATAGACCTGAGTCCGCCAAGACGGCATGGCGATTCCGCAATGATCGGCGATAGGCGGAAGGGCGCGGACGGCCGGCTATGTGCGACTGTGTGAATGCTCGTTCTACGGTTCTACGACCTGCCAGCTTGAGAAAGTTTGACTTTTCGCTGACATGCAAGGACGCCCAAGCCAAAGAGCAGGGTGGACCCAGTACCAAAAAAAGCAACACTTCCCAAAGGAGAAAAGGGCCGTGATCGACACCTTCCGCAGCGCCTGTGGTTGCAGAGGGTCGAACAAGGTTTCGAGACAACGTTTTAGTAACAGACTTTTTTTTCTCTTTCTTGCGCGTAGGGCTGGCCGGCTATCCTTGCGTAGTCCGAGCCAGAAGGGCGGCGGCAGACGATAGGATGAAGGGGACTCTTTTCTCTAACGCGAGGCGCTCGTAAAAAAGTCAACGGTCGTAACGTATGTGGCTAAGGTAAGGTAAGGTAAATGGGCGGTGTTTGAGAGAGCCCAGTCGGGCAAAAAGCTCCTTCCTACCAGCTCTACAAAAGTAGGCTATGTGTGACCACTGAGCCGGGCAGATCAATTTGTAAGAAAGAATGAAACCTTGAGGGTGAACACACCTTAATGTGACCTCGCTGGGCCTTACTTGCCTATTCGTAGTTTTGCCCGGCAGGATTTTCTGTGCTGAATAGGTAGGCGACCAAGGACATGGTCACAGACAGTAGACTGGCAGACGGGGAAAATGGGAATCCTATGCGCGAAAGACCTTCCAGATTGGGCCGAATGGCCATGGTCTCGTGGCCGGTTTGTTGACAATATGTTGTTCGAGGGGGGCGTTGAGTTTCGTTTTATTCTTCGCTGCGACCCCGACGTAACATGTGAAAACGCTTGTAAGCCCAGATGGTTTCCTTTGGAGCGGTTGAAATCTAAGCTATGTCCCAATGGCATGGGTAAGCTTAGGCAATCCTCCTCCTCTTCCCTCCTCCCTGCCCCCGCGAACCCGCGCCCGCAGTCCGCCCGCCGGCTATTTGTCACTTTTACAGTCGGAGGCTTTGGGAAGGGAAAAAACCCCAGGCCTGTCAACGAGTGTTCGGCCGCTGCCGTTTTACGACACTTGTATTGTTTTGGTGTGGGGCAAGGAGTGGTGAGTGAGTTGACAGTTTTCTAGACGTGAAAGCTTGAGGTGGGTGTAGAAAAGGTAAGGTGAGCGTGAAGCAGGGAGTTTGGGGTGAAGAGACGGATGTCTGGGAGCTGGAGGGGTGTTGGGTGGACTTGTACCGTTCAAGGTACCCAAGTATTGCCAAGGTACCTTAAGTTAGTTGGTGTGTGGTTGTCCGCCAGAAAACCTTGAGCTTCACTGTTTCTCAAGTGACTGTTGGGGGGAAAGAGAGGATAGTGTAAGCGGTTGCATTAGTCATGAGAAGCAAGTGAGAAGGTGGATGATGAAATTTGCAGGGCCGAAGCTGGCCGCCGCTTGTGCCGAGCCGGGTTCTTTGTACCCCACCTTTCCGCAGTTTCTCCCGGCCGCTCTGTCCTTTGGGTCCCCGTTCGGCCTTGAAATTCTCCCCGGGCTGGCCAATCTCTGGTGCGCAATGATACCACATGCAGTCTGCAGGTTCTTCCACCTTGCCTTACCTTATCTCTCAAGGTATACAAAAAGAATTCCCATGCAAGAATGCGATATGTCAGCAATGCGGACCTGCGGAGCCAAGACCCCGAAAAGCCCTTGTTACGGAGAATCCGTGCCGCACCTCAGCTGGGCTGTTGATAGTGATACCTACCTGCCTCAAGGTGCCCGTGGTGCATGCTACTAAGGTATCGTCAGCATGGCAGCTTACGGATACATACCAGTGGAAGGGAAGGTAGTATTACCCATTAGTCGGCGAGGGAAAAAACAGCACAGCGGCAGGGCGCAAACTCTAGATTGTGCATCATCGGGATTTGTGATGACGGAAGCCCATCGAACCACGTTTTTTGCTCATCAAGATTTTTCCAGCTCCAGCTCCAGCTCCATTCTCAGCTGTGCGCGCCCTTTGTAATCGCGTCAGCTGTGGCACACGAGGCGGTGTGTGCTTGAGGAATCCTTTTGAAATCTTTCAAATCGAAGGCGTCATCCAGGGGGACCGAGATATAAAATGTGATTTCATATGATCTTGTGCCCTTCTGAGCTCTACCTCACACTACTGCGTATCTCCCCTCCACACGTCTTCTCGACCTTCCCGATCAACCCGATCGAACCGTCGCAGTTTTAGTCTTACCCCCTGGGGAATCCCTCGAGCACCTCATCACCTGCCTACAAGAGCTCAGTGCCTTGCATAGCTCCGGATTGCGCCATCCTCAACATCCATACAAAGTTGCAACCCGTGTGACTGAACAATTGGACAGATCGTCTTCCCTGTCGCAGACCGCCTGTCTCCGCCAAAAAAGAAAAAAAAAAGACCGTACTCAAACTTGCCCCTCCAAGACAAGTGGGAAAGCATTCAAGACAAGAGGTTGACGATAATAAGAACAACAACCACCGAAAACGTCCTCACACCTGTCTAGACCTCAGCTACCACCCCCAACCACCAAAATCAGCCCATTGACTCACCAAAACCAATCCGTCTTGGTCAGCAGGCGCGCGATTGCGTGATTGATTCCTATTCGGAGCTTGGTGCATCTCCGACACAAAGCACCGTTGTCGTCTTTTTTTTTTCTTCGGCCGCCGGAGCGTAGCGGGGCAATTTCCACCTTAAACATCCTACGGAGACTCGAGCTACTCTTTTTTTTCTTCTTCATAACGTAACAAACGACAAGAAAAAACGACCCCGCGACTCGACTCGGTTACCGTCGACTTTATTTCGCACAAACCCCGAGAAACGTAGCCCGGGTATTTTTCTCTCGATCCTCCCTATTTTTTCTTTTCTTCCCTTCTTCTTTCTGCATTCTTCTAGATACCCTCACATCTGCTATCCTTTCTTCTCACCTCATAAGAAAGTCGCAATCTACTACCCCGCCAAACTCCTTCTTATCACGACAACCCCTCCATCAGCAATCATGACCGTCCCCGTCGCCGAGCACCCCATCGAGACCCCTCCGCGGGCGCCCTCACCCGTCCACAACTTCGGCACCCTCGCCGTCCACGCCGGCTCTCCCCACGACCCCGTCACCGGCGCCGTCATCGAGCCAATCTCCCTCTCCACGACCTTTGCGCAGACCAGCGTCGGCAAGCCCATCGGCGTCTACGAGTACTCCCGCTCCAGCAACCCCAACCGCGACAACTTTGAGCAGGCCGTCGCCGCCCTCGAGCATGCCAAATACGCCCTCGCATTCTCCTCCGGCTCCGCCACCACCGCCGTCGTCCTCCAGTCCCTCGCCGCCGGCTCCCACGTCATCTCCGTCTCGGACGTCTACGGCGGCACCCACCGCTACTTCACCCAGGTCGCCAAAGCCCACGGCGTCAAAGTCACCTTCACCCCCGAGATCGAGGTCGACATCTCGGCCCACATCACGCCCGCCACCAAGCTCGTCTGGATCGAGAGCCCCTCCAACCCGACCCTCCGCCTCGTCGACGTTCGCGCCGTCGTCACCCAGGCCCACCAGCACGGCATCATGGTCGTCGTCGACAACACTTTTCTCTCCCCCTACGTCCAGAACCCCCTCGACTTCGGCGCCGACATCGTCGTCCACTCCGTCACAAAGTACATCAACGGCCACTCCGACGTCGTCATGGGCGTAGCCGCCTTCAACTCCCCGGACCTCAAACAACGCCTCGGCTTCCTCCAAAACGCAATCGGCGCCGTCCCCTCCGCCTTTGACTGCTGGCTCGCCCACCGCGGCCTCAAGACCCTCCACCTCCGCGCCCGCGAGGCCTCCACAAACGCCACCGCCGTCGCCACAGCCCTCGAAGCCTCCCCCAACGTCATTGCCGTAAACTACCCCGGCCTCGACTCCCACCCGCACCGCGCCATCGCGAAGAAACAGCACCGCAATGGCATGGGCGGCGGCATGCTCTCCTTCCGCATCAAGGGCGGCCACGCCGCCGCAGAGCGCTTCTGTCAGCTCACCCGCATTTTCACCCTCGCCGAGTCCCTCGGCGGCGTAGAGTCCCTCGTCGAGGTCCCCAGCAGCATGACCCACGCCGGCATCCCAAAGGACCAGCGCGAGGCCGTCGGCGTCTTTGATGACCTCGTCCGCATCAGCTGCGGTGTTGAGGACGCAGAGGACCTGCGCCGCGACGTGCTGCAGGCCCTTGACAAAGCCGTTGCCGAGCAGAAGAACGGCAGCAACGGCGTCAACGGTCACTAGACTACAGGGACGAGGCGCAGTTTCATGACTTTTTTTACTTTTTTTACTTTTTTTACTTTTTTTTTTTTTTTGGATCAAAACTTTGTTCTACCAATCTATCAAAGAATCGTAGAATTCAGTTGTTGCCTTTCATCTTGGGCGAGGGGTGGCTGCATTCGAATTGGGAATTATTTACGAGCTACCTAAAGACGGAACATGACGCTTCCGTCAACTACCGCTAGCATCATGATCAACAACATCATCATATATATAAAGAGGGTATTTTAAAAAGGGAGCATTAGGCATAGTAAAGCAATTGAAAATTCTAGAACAGGATTGGGGGTATAATGACAAAGAAAAGAATGGTAGCATGCTCTACCGTTGATTAGCTTGCCATCGCTATTACCAAGAAGCAAAATCGCGCATCGTTCAAACGCTTGACCTCCCCAAAAGTCTGTGTGATGTTGACAAAGTCGTACAATACTACTCAGCAGTCCTCTCATCCAGAGCGTCTCGGGAAACTCCATCACTCCTCTGCAAAGTTCAGATTCAAAAGATTCTCTGCAAGGTTTCCTCCGCCGCCGCCGCCGTTCTCGTCATCGCCAGCTCCGCCTTCGCCCCCTTCCCCTTGGCCGGCATGCTCATTGCGCTGCCGCTGAATCTCATTCATGCCCTGACACGCGGTCTCGGCAATGTAGTGAAGTTCTTCGAGGGTGCCGCTGTTGCAGTTGGGAAAAACGCCGTCGATACTGCGTTGCCAACCGCTCGTGGAGTTCTGTACCGCCGTCTGGTAGGCATTAACGTCATACTCTGTGACCCGCAGCGCGCGCGTTCTAGGCCGCATCTGAGTGAGGAGGTAGTCGTTGGAGGCTAGAGCCGGCAGGTAGGACACAGGCGAGCCGTCAGACTGCGGCGGCTGGTAGTAGCCCAGGGCCACTTCGACGAAGCGCTGCGCGATCGAGCGGCCGAGTCCGCAGGGGTCGATGAAGTCGAAATCGGGGGACGAGGGCGCGGGGGACGGCGGTAGATCGTCGCGGGTGTAGAGGTCGTAGCCGAGGAAAGAAGCACGGCACGTCTGGAGCTTCGGGCATGACTCTCGGATGATCATGGCCATCCAGTCATCGTGGAGGCCGGGCCGCTGGTTCGGGAGACCAATCCACAGGATTTCCTTTGAGTCTTCGTTGAGGTTATGGCCCTGTTCCGCTTTGAGATAGACCTCATTGAGGTACAGCTCCCGTAGAGTCTGGCCAAAGTTGCGCGCGGCGCATCGAAGGACGTCCGGCGTGATCTCGACACGTTTCAATTCGAGGGCTGTTAGGCATGGAAGCGTGATCGGTGGAGAGGGAAGCGCGCGAGCCCTCCACTCGTCTATCGTCATGTTCCAGGCTTTTGTTTGCTTGAGGCCTCTGGGTGGACGATCATCGTCGGTGCCAGATAGACAGAGGGTCTGTAAGACTTCGGCGTTGTGGATAAGATCCCACAGGCAAGTCCCGTAAAAGGCCACACGTGGAGGGTCGACCTCGTGACGACGGAAAGATATGACTAGGTGCTCGAGTTGGAGGACAGTGTGCATGATGGCAAGAACATCAGAAGGGTTGGTCCAGAGGTCGACGATAGCTTGATCAGATACGTTCTCTAGCACAAGCGTTTTGAGCGAAAGAGAGTCCTCCGGGCGACGGGAGAAGGCGGAAAAGGTATTCGCGAGTATCATTGTTGCAGCATTACAGCGGTGACCTACGAGCTGGAAAGGTAGGTTTAGGCGCAATGAGGAAACGAACTGGCAGTTGAAGAGTATTGATTCGAGCGTATGGCGGTAGTCCAGCGTTGTAAAAGAAGCAGGCGACATGCAGTACTGACGTTGGAGTGTCTGGACGAACTGCTTCATAGAGGGTATTCGATCGAAGATGGTTGACAGAAATTCTACTTCTACTGTTGGAGAGTCAGCAACATTTCGCGACCTTGTTACCGCTTTCCTCCAACTTACACTCATCGCGCAATACCATCAGGTCAATGTACATTGACTTGCAGTGATACCCGATTGTCTGAAGGGAATCGACATCCGGTTGCCGCCGGGGGCTGTTCTTGCTGAGACGGCTGAACTCGAGGGCGATGGTCCGCAACGCGTAGGGCTTGAGAAAGCGGTCGAAGGCCCTGCATACGAGGCGCAGGTGCAGGATGTGATTTCGGGATGTTAAGGCGACGCATTGCCGGAGGATCGCATCTATCAGCTCGCGGGGAAGCGACTCCATGGTGGGATCGTAGAGGGGGAAGCTCCGGCAAGGCGAGGAAATTAATTCGTAGGGATCTCGTAGGGGTCCAATGCGCGATACGGAGCGCAGCTATACTGGCTCTGCCGGAAAGCCGACAACGACGAAGACAATACGGGGATTCGCGGCCTGCCCAAGTCTTGCTGCGGAGGTGGATCGCTCGAAAAGGTCGTGAAAAGGGTGTTGATGAGGGTTAGATTGGGAGGTTGTGGGTTATCAAGATGAATGTTGATAATCAAACTAGCGGTCGAAACCCGGACGGATCCTGTCTGAGGTGGAACAAGAGCCGGACGGTGACAGGGAGCTTGGGGCACCCAAGTGTCACTTCAGGCAGTTGTAGCGCAACGTGCGCTAAGGCCGACAAGGGTTCAGTCACCAGGGTCCCCGCGTCTTACCTTATCATTCAACGGGCGCTCTTGAACTTCGGTGCATGTCTTGCAACACCATGGACCTGGCATTTTCGAAAATTTGGAAACAAAATCGAGTTGCTAGAGTGATCGTCTCTCATTGCTTTCAGATTCTTTATATCATCATGAGTGGCACTTGTTTCCCTTCAAGATTGAGCATCGGCAATTCAGCTCCTTCGGCACGGCATCACCCGTAAACTTTCGTGCTACCTTAGCTCCTGCATGCTCTTGGACCTCATGACACCGACATGTGCTTTTGTCTCATTGCGCCGTTTGCAAAGGCTTCGGCTTAATCCTCCCAGCCGTACCGCTTAGCAAACCACTTGACAAAGTAGACCAGCCCAAGGAGCACCGGCACCTCGATGAGCGGCCCGACAGTCGTGGCAAGTGCCTCATCCGATTCAGGCCCGTAAGCCGCGACAGCTATCGCGATAGCTAGCTCAAAGTTGTTGCTTGCCGCCGTGAAGGCCTGTGTACATGCGAGACCGTAGCGGAATCCCAGTCTGCGGGCGACGAGCAGGGTCGCCGAGAAGATGACGGAGAAGTAGACCACTAGCGGCGCCGCCACGCGAACCACTGAGACGATTTGGTGAACGACTTGGGAACCTTGAGAGGCGAAGAGGACGATGATGGTATACAAGAGACCGATGAGTGACCAGGGTGCTAGGAAAGGTATTATTCTGTTGTTGTACGTGTCGACCCCGATGGTGTAGACTAGTGAGAGCCGCGTGAGGATGGCCGCGCCGAGGGGAATGCCGAGAAAGATGCCAACTGCTGAGGCAACCGTCGAGTACGAGATAGACGAGATACTGTGATCTTGGCCGATTACTCGGATGAAGAGCAGGGCGACAGGGGCGAAGAGAACGATTTGCAGGAAAGAATTGACTGCCACGAGAATGGCGCAATAATTTCCATCTCCTCGGGCCTACGTTCAATGAAATCAGCATCTTTTTGGGTTTGTAAGTGTCAAAACGGGATTCTTACCAGGCTTGTCCAAATCAAGACCATGGCGATACACCTCGCGACTCCAACAAGAATCAAACCGTTTCTAAGACCCTGCTTGTCTGGTAGGAAAGCCCATGATAAGGTAAGCTAAGGAATAATGTTAGCAGATGTTGGAAACGGCCTTGGGAGGACGCAACACTGACCATGAAGAACGGTGCAACGATCCAGTTGAGGATGACGCTAAAGCCGAGCTGAATCCAAACCTCTCTTGTACGGAAGATGGTATGTAGTTTCTCGTACTGAACCTTGCACAAGATGGGGTACATCATCACCAATAGACCAACGGCTAGAGTCTATGAGCATCGCGCATCAAAGAGCTGGCTGAGCCAAGACTTACCTATCGGCACAGAGACGCCAGCAAACTTGCCCTGTTGAAGCGCTTGCCCAGCGTTAGGGACGAAGTTTCCGAGCAGAATGCCAATTAACATAGCGAGAAAGATCCAGACGGCTAGGAATCGATCTAGAATTCCTAGAGACTTGAATACCGAAGGGTTTTGTGCATCTTCAACTTCGTTAGACTGTCGCTGCTCGATATCTCGATTTACACCGTTATCACTCGGTTTCTCAACCTGGTCTCCGTCTGTTTTCACTCTAGAATCCCGCATATTGTCAGGGCAAGAGTAGACACTACAATTGATATGAGGATGAGCCAAAGATTAATAATTAAAGCAAAAGATATAGTGGTGAAATTTGTTCAGTTCTTGAGGTACTCAAGTTCAAGTTCATCAAGTCTTCATCTATAAGAGCTAATGGGGGTGAGCGGGCACCTCAGTCTGGGGGTTTTCCTCCCCAAAGTGAGTCTCTAAATCCCGACCAATCAGAATAGAGGGGTGACATTTCAATGAAGACAGACACCGCACCGACTGATTTTCCCGCTTGAAGAGACTTCGCTCTGCCCTTCAGCTCGCGCTAAAAAGGCTTCACCCAATCACTGCGCCGTCTAAGTTTTCGGTCTGAAGCTGGACGCGCAACTATTCCAGTCTAAGACCTGGTTAGTTCCGATGTCTTTTGGTGCCGAAGTCCTTCGAGCGTAAAAGACGACAACAGTTGGCATAAGCAGCAATCAGGCAAAGCTTCGAGAAACGCTTTTCGCGTATTACTTACCAGCTTGCGTTCGTCACAAAGGAGTCACTTCATGATCAGCTCTTATCGCTTTGGATGCAGATCCAGATAACTCTTCTGGTACCAGCCTGAAGAGATCGTGGGGAGTTGAACTTTGCGAATAACGGAGTAAGCGGTTATGTAATCCCTGACTGTCAGTGATCTGCGACGACTCTTTGGATACGAGAGGCAGAAAGCAAAAGAGTTTATGGTGTCCAAACTGGTGATCTGGTATGTCAACTAGTTCAAAGTCAGCTTTCTGTTGTTCTCTGAGCTTACGATCTCATCTGATTGAGTTTGGCATGCACACGGGCCGGCACATTCAGCCCCAGCCTCATTTATGCGTCCTGTCTATTAGTTGACAAAATACTGAAGCTCTCTAGGCTATAGTTCGCCGTCCATTTGAAACCATTGGACCCCTTAATTTGGGCATATAAACAGCTCGCTCGCAAGGAGTTCCTTCATAACCTGCAAAATATTCAAAGAAAAGACACTGCGCCTCAGTTCTTCCCCCTTCTAGTACCTAGTAAGCATCAGAGGGGATATCCTTGGAGGCGTAAGTCGTGTGAATGACTATAAGACAGGAAGTAATGGGACTCTAACGCGCACTTATCAAGATCGTATACCTGCAACTGCCCACCATAGGTAAGTTACGTGATCGCACAGTCTACATATCGAGCATCGCTGTGGAGGCTGTGCTTGCGAGGCTGTCATGCTGTTCAACCCAGGCCGTAAGTTGGTACATGAGGTAGCTACTTAGTCATGTTGACTTACTACCGCTACCGCCGAGAGCGACTGACTGATCATCTTATGATCTCAGCGAAGTCGCTAAATCATGTCTTCCCGCGATCGTCAACAAACTAATTTCCCCCGCAGGATTTCTCATGCATTCCTCACCTCAATCGGACACGGCGACGGAGCCTACGAAGGCTTGGGACATCCCAGCTCCTAGTCACCAACAGGAGGCAGGTGCACTGGCCAACGTCGCGACTTCCAGGTTGGAACGCGTCCGATGGATTTGAGGCGGGGCAGCTTTGGGTGTCGGGCCGAGAAACCTCCCGAGCTTGCTGTGCCCTCCATCCCGTGCCCACCTGCCTCGATCCTCATGATAAATTTTTCTGCAGGCTCCCAACCCCGTCGTTCTTTTGTCTTTCACTCACAACCATACCACCCGTCCTCCGATCTCCAAGTCGGTGTTGCTACAGCAAACCACCTCCAATCTCCTGCATTGTTTGCACTGGGTATCGGGTTCGACAATCTGACGCGGACTGTGGGACACGATTTCATCATCCGCGACGTCGTCATTCTCATATCAGCACAGCGCCAACCTCAATGAGATGAAGAGCGTTTCCATCTCCAAATGATGATGGGCATCCTCGATCTCCTCTTGCGGCGCGCTGCTGCATCCTTTCCCGCAACTCGGGGTGTTTCTACCTTCTCGAAACCTCGGGAACCATCAGACCAAGCATCCCACCATCATTTGTCGCGCCCCCATGCCGCATTGGTGTCGTTTCGGATTGATCTTCCCCACGAGGAGCGCAGCCTTGGGTCGCATTTGAGACGCGCGTGCACATTCGGCGCTTCGCAAGTGCGAGGCGTCTACGGATACAGCGTGTCAATCTTCGGATATCGCACACGTCTCGCAGAGCGCGACCAAAACCTACTAATCCAACTCGCCAGATTCGTGACATCAGTCCTTTTTGGACACAGGCATTAGTGTGTACAGCAATGGGCTTCTCTCTGTGCCATTCTTGCTGAAGGAAATTTTCATCGTGCCAAGATCAAACTCTGCCCTTCTATTACCAAGCACCTACGTCGCTCTTTACACGATAGCTCTGGCTGCATGAAGTAATGGCAACATCTCGCCTGATTTATGATGATTATGACTGAATATGTGATTCGCATGAACTGTGGACTCTGCGCGCCTGAGATACCACAATCGGTATCACAATCGGGCGCGTCGTCTCCAGTGGCCGGCCTCTTGCCAAGTTGCCAGTGGAAACGTCTCGAATTCATTCGGACGAGCCTCAAATGAAGCCGAATATGGACTCCACCTCAATCTGCCCGGCCCCATCTCTGCTGCCCGGGCTGCCCGGCTCACCGCCAACATCAAGTCGAGGCGATGTGAGGAGCGAGCAAGGGAATTGTGCTAACGCCCGCCCGCGTATCGGCCACCTTGCGTTGCGAGTCTACGGCCAGTCGCGAGGGCAGAGATTTCAACTTACAGGTTCTTGGTGGCCATGATCTGATGGTGAGCGTGTCTGCCGGTGGGGACAGTCACTCAGGGGAACGCTATGCCTAATTCGCTTGGCTCTTAAGATTGAAGCTGATGACAGATCCAGAGATACGGCTCCTTGGGCCTTGGCCGCAAGGCTAAGGGCAAGTTGCTTCCAAGTTCCCAACTTCCTACTCCGAGGCGGAGCTCAGCTTGAGCCTTGAGGATGACTGCCTGCAAAAGTAGCGCCATCCGGGTCCACGAGCCTCGCTCACGGACGCTGTTTAATCTCGTCGAGTCGCCGCACCTTTCTTCTTTTTGCGTTCGTCTAACTTCCTTTTTTCTTTCTGTTTCTCTCCCCCAAGTCGCGCTCTCATCCTGCCATCTTCGGGATACGGATGCCTAGTCACGAAATCGACTTTGGTTCCAGCGGAACCCAAACATGGATTGATGGGGCAGAATGGCAGACTGGGCAGACGCCTTTATTCTTGGAGAACACCATTTACCTAGGACCCTGCCTCGAAGGAAGCGCCCAAGGAAGATCGGAGGATTCGGAGAACAAGACGGACCCCTCCTGGCAGCCCTGAAAGCTGGCAGGGCAAGGCCCACGAGTCCCCCCTTCCCTGGACGATGATGGCATAAGCCGCGTTGGGATACAGATGGGAAGGTTATTGGCGAGCTAACGTTCCCACTCCCGGACAGGGGGGGAAGAGAAGCAACGAGGCATGGCAATTCGAGCAAAAGTGAGTAATTGCGATGTGCGATACTTGACAGCTGACAAGCGGAACCACATTGGATGATGCCCTGCCAGCACAACGAATTCAATTCCAGGCATGCATGCTGGCGAAAGCAAGCAGGCACGCAAGCCACCGGGCCACCGGCTTGTGACGATGGCCACGAGACATGATTTTTTTCAGCATCATGAGCCGAGACACTTTCATTCTTTTTGGCTTGTCATTCATATGCAGAGGTAGAACAAAGTTTTTGTCTTTTGGTACGGGATGTCCGCCCGCGAATTCCAACGGCGACGGCCCTGTTCAGCTGAAAAGGAACAAAAAAGACAATGGGAAGTGCTGGCCCTTGCCTACCGGCCATCGGTGACGCGCTCCCCAACTATGGGCCACCAAATACCTAGGACGACTCCCAAAGATGGGAATAATGTGGCGCGTTGGCAAACGCCAGAAGCGGAACTTCGAAAGTCGAACGGGGCGTACAATTTCATTACCGCCGTTGCCCTCGATGCTCGAGGCGCCTTTTCACTAGTGGGAATGCACAAAAGTGTAGATTGCCCCCCCCGGAGGCGCGGGAACAAGATCAAACCCGGGATCGGACATCCTGTCAGGCGACTTTCACTCACTTCTTGCCAATTGCCTGCCCGTGGACAAAGACGGCTTTGGAAAAAGTTGGAACTGCCGCCCATTATCTTTCCTGTCTGCAAGCCTGCAGGGCCCTTCCATCTGGCTGCAGGTGCTGCATCTGCAGGCTGCAGCGCTTCAATATCGGCCGAATTACAAGAGAGGGAGGGCGCAACGCCTTTGGGCTTGGCCGCTGGATAGAGAGAGCGAGAGAGCCCCCACGCCATGCAACATACCCGAAGAGTTGCGAGTCGTGATACTTGCGGCGTTCTGTCCACAGTGTCCACGGTACCCTGCCGAGTACCGATGAAGCGAAGCGGGTCAAGCAACGGTTCGACTCGTTTGATCTCCCTCAGGTGTTGGCGCCTCCCTCGCCTTGTTGTTGCGCTGAGCCAGGAGGGGCCCAGGACAAGGCCAGATGAAAATCGCCCGAACACTTTTTATTCTGTTGTTGGAACTTGGCGGCCTAGGAGAGACTTGAGAAGAGAGAGACAGACGGGGAAGTCTTGACTGGTGGTCGAGCGTTTGCAGGTGTCAGCTATCATGCAGAACGCGCGACTCGCATCACCCGTCCGTTCGACACGTTCGTGCAGAATGTTCTGTGCGTCCCGAACGGATTACTAACTCAGGGGGCTTTTCCCCCTTCTCTCCAATCTCAAAGTTGAGCGTTGGACAGCAGCTGCTAGCTTTGCGCCTTTGTACACTAAAACGCCGTACCGCCCTCGCGAACGCTAGCAGAAGGGGGAGAAAGAAACGGAAGAAAACGCTGGACGAATCCCCTCTCTCGGCCGGTGAGACACCGCTGAGTGAGAGCCGATGGAACGGCCGCCGAAGCGTGAACGCTTTAGTCTTAGCCAGGGGCTTTTTCTCTGAAGGGGGTGGAAAGGTACAGAGTAGAACAAGCTCGAAAGACAAGCCATCCGTCCCGCGGGTAGATCCCCCTCTCCCAAAAAACTACAAAGAGGACTGACGTGGTGTAGTGGGAGGAGTGAGCGCGCACTGGTCTCAGACTCAGGTCAGGTCGGTCCCTCGAGTTCGTCGCGAGAGGGGGGGGGGGGGTTGGGGACGTTTGAGAGAGAGAGAGAGAGAGAGAGAGAGAGAGAGAGAGAGAGTAAGAGCGCGTTCCCTACGGATACTTGGGGTCTAGGTAGGAGGTGCGGTATCATGATTATGGTACGTGCTGGTCGGAATGTGCACAATGACTAGCGGTTCGTATGAACAGCTGGACACATGTGCGGGTGGACAAACCTACGAGAAAAGAAGTCGGAACAATGGAAGGGCGTTTGAGTACGAGTTTGGTACGAGTACGGGAACACTGATCGTAGGCACACAGCACACAATGAACGAACAGCTTGCCAGCTTCTCCCCCCCCCCCGCCCGCGCTCCTTGCAGGCATCTCTCTCGGTCAGCAGAGGTGCCGTGGGCCAAGGCAGGTTTTCTTACTCTTTCTTGTCTCTGTTTCCTGGGACGGCACTGGCAGAAAGGGGAGGGAAAAGGCGGGTACCCTCGTTCGTATTAATCCCCGCTGGCGCTGGCGTTGCGGCGATCATCCACCCCGTCAAACCCCATCCATGGATGATGGGCCATGAATATGATCCAACCCCCCGTTTAGCTTCGATCCATCCTGTTATCCGTACCGTAGAGATACGGGAAGGGAGGAGGTTGGGGTTTGTTGGCAATGTACAAGTACTTTGTACGTGTTGTTCACTTTACTTTTTTTTTTTTTGTATTTTGGCGACAAGTGTTGCACGGCCGCACATCTCACACGCGTTCAAACATTTCGCGCGGGAAGGGAAAAAAGGCAATTGCATTAGTCCAATTTTTCTAATTCTTCCCACTTCAGACCAGACGGGAGGCGAACGTTTATTTCTCCTGATTTTTTTTTTGACCGTGCTGCCGTGCTGTTTTAGGCAGGGTGCGGCGTCTGTGTGTGCGTTAGGGAGGGCGGCGCCGTGGCGGGAAAGCTGTCCGTCTCAATTCTTGAAGTCTTGTACATGAGGCGGACCAATCTGACGGATTGAAATGAAATTGAATCTGAGATTGGCCGCCCATGCTCCGTACTTGTGTTAAAAACTTGTGGCTTGGCGGGATATTCTCCGTTGTCTTCTTCTTCTTCTTCTTCCTCTTCCGATTGAATAAGAGAAAGGAGACTTGATCATGATCCAAGGTGGGACTAGGTAGGTAATGAGAATTAGAGAAAGAGACTTATCGAAGAAAGGCCAATGCCAAGACGAGGTACAGTACATGACACTTGCAGCGACAATGTGGCATAGTGGGAGTAATATTACTAGGTACGGATACTTCAGTTGCTACTACCTGATTCCCACTGACGTATTATGTGCGCTCCTGGTTTCTATTATTACTGCTACCTCCTACTTGCTAATGTACTCCGTCCTTGCTGCATCTGCTCCGTCCGTGGCCGCTAACCCCCCCCCCGTACTTCGTACCGTAC